GTGGGCCAAATGGAAGTAAGATATTATTATCTCGTTTCATATAAAACTACTGCTACAGTCTGGGCGGGCGCGTAAAAAAAAAAAGAGAAAAAATAAACAAAACACACAATAAACCAACACACACAGAGACACAGAAACACAGACAACACAGACAGAACACAGACTGGTACAACATGGTAGAAAAACACAACCGTACATCACAAAAAACAAAAACACAAACAGGAAACACATACAAGGTGAACAAAAACACATATCAACCACATAACATAAAAACAGAGAATAAAGAAAAAAACAGCAGGAGAATCGCATTAACTCAGGAAGCGGAGTTTATAGTGAGCTGAGATCTCACCACTGCACTCCAGCCTAAGCGACAGAGTGAGACTCCAACTCAAAAAAAAAAAAAAAAAAAAAAATTTGTCCAGCTGGTGGGGGCACGCGGTAATCCCAGCATAAAAAAAACGCTAGAACGGGGGCCTGAGGCAGGAGAATGCAATGGTGGGATCTTGGCTCACTGCAACCTCCACCTCCCAGGTTCAAGCAATTCTCCTGCCTCAGCCTCCCAAGTAGCTGGGATTAAAGCCGTGCCCCATCATGCCCAGCTAATTTTTGTACTTTTAGTAGAGACAGAGGGTCACCATGTTGGCCAGGCTGGTTTCGATTACAGGCATGAGCCACCACGCCCACCAGAAATGTATCTTTATGGAAAAAAAAAGTTTTCCAAAAATAATTAGTGAGAACAGTGGTACTGTTTTACATTTTTTACAAATCTCTTGAATGTTTGGTTTAATAGAATCCAGTTCAATTCTCATATCTGCACCTACATTCAATCTGTTATTATGTGTTGTTTTGTTTGAGTATATAGTTAGAGTATATGACTTTGGTTTAAGCCAGGTGCAGTGGCTCACACCAGTAGTCCCAGCTCCTTGGGAGACTGAAACAGGAGGACTGCTTGAGACCAGGGCTTTAAGGGTGCAGTGTACTATAATTGCTGCAGTGCAGTCTAACCTGGGTGACAAAATGAGACCCTGTCTCTAAAAAAAATTGTAATAGGCCGGGCGCGGTGGCTCACGCCTGTAATCCCAGCACTTTGGGAGGCCAAGAGGGGTAGATCACCTGAGTTTGGGAGTTTGAGACCAGCCTGACCAACATGGAGAAACCCCATCTCTACTGAATATACAAAATTAGCCGGGCATGGTGGCACGTGCCTGTAATCCCAGCTACTTGGGAGGCTGAGGCAGGAGAATCACTTGAACCCAAGAGGCGGAGGTTGTGGTGAGCCGAGATCACACCATTGCACTCCAGCCTGGGCAACAAGAGCAAAGCTCCGTCTCAAAAAAAAAACCACAAAAAAGCAAACCAAAATAATAAAACGCGACTCTTCGGTTTGCATCTCACAATGGAACGTCGTAGCTTGGACAATAAGCAGTCTAGTCCCATCCTCTTTCAGGGCGTTCAAATGTTGATTCGCGTGAAAAATGTGGCTCCCTTTCATGCCCTTATCAACACTACATTCCAGTTCCTACAGAGAGCAATCGCCGTCACTGGCCACGTGTGCTCTCAATGTCGTGCCCTTCGTCACTCCACGCCACTACGGCCACGCACGCACACACTTACAAACTCTCTGACAGTTAGTGAAAACTACCTGATTTTGATTCCCAACTCAATCAACGAGCAAATGACACTCACGCGCGCCCCCGCGGCCGCGCCTCGGGCTCAAAACGCCCCCCACCCCACTCCCTCCGCGCGCAGGCTGAGCGACCCGCGCGCGCTGACACACAACACACACCGCACACGCGCGCGCCCCACCCCGAGAATCGCACCCCATCCCACGGTGACACCCCTAACACCAACAATCCGCCCCCCCACCAACCAACCTCACACACACTCACACACGCAGCGGCGCCGGACGGGCTCGCGCCCAGCGCCTGTAAGGTCCCAGCCACCTACAACCTCTCTTCAGCGCGCCACGCGCGCGCCCACCGCAACAACACAAGAAATGGCGTGAACCGGCGGGAGGCCCAGAGCGTTCGCACGCGCACCGACGGACGATCCCGCCGCACAACCCCTCGTACTCCAGCCTGGGCGCCCAGAGCGAGACCTTCCCGTTCTCAAAAAAAAAAAAAAACACAAAAACAAAAAAAAAAAAAAGAATCATTCTTGCCGGCGGCGGTGCGCCACTCCTGCGTAATCCCCAGCACTTTTGGGCCGCGCTGGGTCAGGCCGGCATCACACCAGGCATCAGCGAGACGAGACACCATCCTGGCTAAGCATACGTGAAAACCCGCTCTCCTACGTGACAAAGTAGCAGAAAACGACACACACCCGGGCTTGGTGCCGGCGCGGCCTGAGTCCCAGCTACCTCTGGTGAGCCCTCGAGGCAGGAGAATCGGGTGATACCCTGGGGAGCAGAGCTTGTCAATGACCAAGATGTGCGCCACTGGCATCAAGCCTGGGCACAGAAGCGAAGAACTCCGTCTCAAAAAAAAAAAAAAAAAAAGCGGAAGCGTTCACTCGACTATGCGTGCGCTTTTGCTTAACTGATCCTTCGAGATTTTGTGATGAGTACCCCACCATGTCAAAGCACATCTGGTCGCGACAGCCGCTTGAATTGTGCTCTGAAAGGGCACCAACAAAGCGCGAGTTTAGCGGCACTGTTGCTTTTTTAACAATCTATTAGTTACGATTCGTTACCTTCTTAACAAATTGCGGGCGCACGCCTAACTATGGTCTGGCGCCAGCTGTTGAAATCTGGAGCTCAAGCAATCCTCCCACCTCACCCTCCTGAATAGCTAGGATTGCAGGCCCATGCCACCATGCCTGCCACCACTGTTTTTTACATCATTTTTTATCAACTAAGCAAAAAAGGTAAATAAAGTCTGAGTATTACTATCAAATAGTTCTGACCTTATGAACCTCCCAAAAGGTCTCAGGAACCCTGTGGTCTGCTGATCACACTTTAAGAACCACTGCTCTGGGCCTGCTTCACATCTTAAAATCTGGATAATTATACCAATGTCTTAGAATTGCTGTGATAGTAAGTAATTTGCGTAATAAAGCATTCAGAACAAAATCTAATGTGTAGGAGGAACACCATAAACGTTACTACTCAAGATAGCCCAGCTGTGATAGCTCTGTCCGTCTAGCCAACGTTTTTTCACCTTACACCATACTAAAAATTCCATCATATTTGCAACATTTCACATGTATATATATCGTAAGCATTCTTTACTTGCCTACTTCATATTGGGAGGGTTTTGTCTGTGTGGTAAAATATACGTACAAATTGCCATTTTAACTAGTTTAAAATGTATAGGGGGCCAGGCGCGGTGGCTCAAGCCGGTAACCCCAGCACTTTGGGAGGCCGAGGCGCATCACTTCAGGTCAGGAGTTTGAGAGCAGCCTGGACAACATGGTGAAACCCCGTTTCTGCTAAAAATACAAAAATTAACCTAGCACGGTGGCAGGCACCTGTACTCCCAGCTACTCAGGAGGCTGAGTCAGGAGAATCGCTTGAACCCAGGAGCCGAGATAGCCCCACTGCACTCCAGCCTGGGTGACAGAGCAAAACTCCATCTCAAAAAAAGAAAAAAAAAAAAGTATAGAGCAGTGCTTTTAAGCACATTCCTTCACACTGTTGTGCAAAGGAGTTTATTTTTTAGTTTTATTTATTTTTATCCGCGCCAGGCCTGGTGTTTTTTATTTTTATCTGATTCGTCTAGGGGCACTTTCATCCTATTTACCCTCACATTTATCAAATTATTTATTTATTTATTTTTATTTTTATTTTTTTTTTGGAGACGGAGTCTCGCTCTGTCGCCCAGGCTGGAGTGCATTGGCCGGATCTCAGCTCACTGCAAGCTCCGCCTCCCGGGTTTACGCCATTCTCCTGCCTCAGCCTCCCGAGTAGCTGGGACTACAGGCGCCCGCCACCTCGCCCGGCTAGTTTTTTTGCATTTTCTAGTAGAGACGGGGTTTCACTGTGTTAGTCAGGATGGTCTCGATCTCCTGACCTCGTGATCCGCCCGTCTCGGCCTCCCAAAGTGCTGGGATTACAGGCTTGAGCCACCGCGCCCGGCCCAAATTATTTCTTTCACAGGTCAGAGGGTAGATTCAATTCCTTTTGATACTCCGTATTTCTCTATATGTTTTTCAATTCTGCATTCTTATTATTCCAACGTTTTACTTATTTATTTATTTATTTGGAGACAGAGTCTCGCTCTGTCGACCAGGATGGAAAGCCCTGGCGCGATCTCGGTTCACTGCAACCACGGCCTCCCAGGTTCAAACGATTCTCATGCCTCAGCCTCCCGAGTAGCCGGGACTGGAATTTGGCGGCACCACGCCCGGCTTCTGTTTTGTATTTTTTGTAAAGACTGGATTTCGCCACGCTGCTCAGGCTGGTCTCGAACTTCTGGTCTCAAACGACCCGCCCCTCACGGCCTTTAGAAGCGCTGTAATCACAGGCGTGAGCCACCGCGTTCGGCTCTTCCAAAAATTTTTTGGCCAGTTTATCTACGGGCATATCCTACAGACTGGGTCCAGTGATTGCACAGAAGTAAACGTCCACTGTAGCTACATAACTACAAACCTATTTCTGTAACGTACATTCCCCAGCAAGGTCCCGCGCGAAGGCTCCACTACCGCGAGAGGCCTCCGAGCCAGGAAGGTGTGAGACTCAATCTGCAGTAGATTCCCAGCAGCCTCCGCGAGTTTCTGATTCTCTAACTGCGCATGCTCCTGCGCACGCGCACTATACATTCCATGACTTCCGGGCACTTCGTAAGGCTTAAATAAGGATGCTTTGCGTTCACTCGGCCTTTTGGAGACAAGATTCGCGGTCGTCTCTTCGGCTTGGTAAGTGTTATCAGATGCCTGCCGCCGGAGTTGTGGGTCTAATACCATGAATCAGCAGCCGGGCTTCCGTAGGAACATATAGTATTTTATTTATTTATGTATTTATTTTTTTGAGACGGAGTCTCGGTTTGTCACGCAGGCTGGGCTGCAGTGGCACGATCTTGGCTCGATGCAATCTCCGCCTGCCGGGTTCAAGCGATTCTCGTGCCTCACCCTCCCCAGCACCTGGGATTCAGGCACGCGCCACCACGCCCGGCCAATTTTTGTATTCTTAGTAGAGACAGGGTTTCGCTATACTGGTCAGGCTGGTTTTGAACTCCTGACCTCCGGTGATCCACAGGCCTCGACCTTCCAAAGTGCTAGGATTACAGGCGTGAGCCACCACGCCTGGCCGAGAATCATGTAATTTAAAACTATATATGGATGTCGTAGGCGGCATCCGTCCCAACTAACGTACGCGTTAGAAGGGCCTGGGCCAGAAGTGGGCCATGGAGACCTCGGGACCTGCAGGGCTGCCACCCGACCCGCTGAGTCTCTGAATCTGAAGGTGCACCGCCACCACCATTGTTTATCTTACTGCCTCTCAGTATGCACATTGTCGTTCTCAATGGAATTGCACAGTTTTATTCCGGATCCTTACTTGCCTTTAAGAATTTTCTCAATTTTTCTTTTTTTTTTTTTTTTTCTTGATCGCGACCCCTACTGGGCTCAAGCAATTCTCCTGCCTCAGCCTCCCGAGTAGCTGGGACTACAGGCGTGTACCACCACGCCCGGCTTATTTTTACATTTCCAGTAGAGACGGGATTTAACCATGTTGACCGGTCTCCAACTCCTTACCTTGCGGTCCTCCACGCCCGGCCTAAGATTTTCATAGTTTCGAAGCATACTGTTCGTAATTCTCTCGTACTTTTGTGAGTTGGGTCATTTTTATTTTTACTTTTTTAGGCTTACAGGCGTGAGCCACCGTGCCTGTCCGATTTGGGGGTAATTTAACGAGTCCGCGTGTTTGATTTGAATTTAGGATAGCTGGGCCTAATTGTTGTCTTTGCTTCTGCCATACCTTCCGCATGATACCGACTATTAAAAAGTAATCAGAATAGCTGAATATGACATGTTACCCGTCTAGAAACCGATTTTTTTTAACACCCCACTGTGGACAGGGTGGAAACTCGTTTGCGTTCTTGTTTAAGATCTGTAGTGACATGAATGGATGAAATTGTTTCCTATTGGATTCTGTAAACTTACGCATTACACTGATTGTCCAACGTGGATACACCTGGGAGGTCACTCTCCCCGGGCTCTGTCCAAGTGGCGTAGGGGAGCATAGGGCTCTGCCCCGTGATGTACAATCCCTTTCCACAACGTTGGAGATAAAGCTGGGCCTTGAGTCTGCGCCTGCATATTCCTACAGCTTCCCAGAGTCCTGTGGACAATGACTGGGGAGACAAACCATGCAGGAAACAACCTTCTAGAGCACTGAATCTGGATTGAAGTCTTAATACGTGTTTAAGAAAAATTGGCTAAAAAGTAGCCAGGCATGATGATAGGTAGCTGGAGGCAGGAGAATCGCTGGAGCCCAGGAGTTCAAGGCTGCAATGACCTATGATTGTGCCACTGCACTCCAACCCCAGGCTATACCGTGAGGCCCCTCATTGAAAAAGATTAGTGTTTTGCTATACTAATAGATTAATACCTTGTTTTGCAGGATTTGTTAAGGATTCCAAGTAACTCTTACTTGGTAAGTAAATTTAATTGTTTTTGGCTTATCAGCTCTTTTGTCAATGATTTCTGTGATGGAAGCAGACTGAAGAGACCTTTATTTTAGTTGGTCAGGATTTATTTACCTCTGAGGCATTGAATCATTCTCAGAGCAATACTTCTGTTTGATACACCCAAATGTAAACTTTGCTGCATTTTTGTAGGCATGTTGACATAACTTCAACATACACTCTAATGTAAAAATTGCTTTTTTTAATCAGCTGATTAAAAGTGTGCAATATAGTAAAAGTTAACCTAGTGTGAACTGTAGGAAGCCTAATTGGCTTTGTCTACATCTGTAGTCTGAGCTGAGAAAAAGATTCTAGCCCTTGAAAATACTGTGGGTGATTAGCAATATTGGATTTATCAGTTACTCCAATTCCTCACTAATGAGCATTCCAACGTGGATACCCTGGGAGGTCACTCTCCCCAGGCTCTGTCCAAGTGGCCTACGGGAGCTTAGGGCTCTGCCCCATGATGTACAGTCCCTTTCCACAACGTTGAAGATGAAGCTGGGCGTTATGTCTGCGCCTGCATATTCCTACAGCTTCCCAGAGTCCTGTGGACAATGACTGGGGAGACAAACCATGCAGGAAACATGTCCAGTGTACTAGATTTTAAGTTGAAGTAGGATCTTCAGGAGTCTAATCGTTATTTCTTTTCTTTTAGGAAAGAAGACAGTCTGCAGTTCACACTTCAGCATTGATGTTTAATTTTGGGGTCCTTTATATAGTAGGGAGAGTAGGTAAACCGATTTTTTTTTTAACAGGGAGGTTTGGACAGTCTTTGGCAGACTTAGCAAAAGATTGGGGTGCGTTTCATACCTCTTTGAGACAGTCTTCCTCTGTCGCCCAGGCTGGAATGCAGTGCCGCAATCTTGGCTGCAACCTCAGCCTCCCAAGTAGTTGGGATTGCAGGCGTAAGCCGCCACACCTGGCCCTCTTTTAAGAGTCTGCTGCTGTTTTGTATTAAAGACTGGAATTTGGCATTTGGTTAGGAATGCACCTTCTTTCACCTCATTCATACCTTAAGAACCAGAGAAGTGACTCTGCTTGGCCTTACGCCAGATTCCAGAAGGCACACAGTGTTGGTGGGTATTTTAAAAGTCCTTGAGTATTTTGCTTTTGTGTGATTTCTAATGTATTTGTAATTTACCTAACAAATTGCTTAATCTGCTTTGTTAATGTATTAAAATAAATATGGCTGTACATGTTTGTGGTTCATTTTTATGTGGAGATGGCTGTGGTGACATCAGCCAAGAATCTGAATGGTACTGCTGAAGGAAACTAGCATGATAGCTTCAGTTCTAAAGGCCCTGAAACCTAGTCTCAGGTGGGTCCCCCTTGGGTTCACTTTATATTGGCAGGTTATTGGGAAAATGGTTATTAGGTCCTGACCAATAGGACCATCAGTCTGGGTTGAGTGCAAGATGAGTTGTTAGACCAATCCTTTAGCTTCCCGCAATGTAGTGGAGGAAAATCAATGGTAGCAATGGGAGGTTGTGGTATCCCTAGCTGAGTTGTATGAGCCTTTGCTACCTGGTGCACCTCAGCCTGAAGACTGCTAGAATTGCTTGCCTCATGACATGAGTCATAATGGGAACTTTGTCAAGCCCCCTACACTGGCTGCCAACATAAATATTCAGTACCCTGAAGGATGGGAAGTAATGGGGAATCATCTAGAAGGTAAAGTCTATCTGCTGGCATAGGGGAAGTGGGAAAGCCATTAAGCCATTTGGAAATTGATGGGACAGGTTTGAAGGAGGTGGGTGAGACTGGAGTTTGGTGGACTAGAGCTTGCTTGTCAGGGTGTTCAGGGCAGGACTGGTCTGAGAATGGAAGCTAGTTACTAGCTAGGATTGTGGGGGAATACACAGCTTGATTTTTCTTAGAAGCAGAGTGGAGTGAGGCAGTGTTGAAGAGGGCATCTTAAATGCAGCCGGGCTTGGTGGCTCTCCCCTGTGATCCCAGCACTTAGACCGAGGCAGGTGGATCACAACATCTAGATATCCTGACCAACATGGTGAAACCCTGTCTCTACTAAAAATACCCGGACATGGTGGTGTGTGCCTGTAGGGGCTGAGGCAGGAGAAATGCTGGAACCCGGGAGGTGGAGGTGGTAGCGGGCTGAGAGCGCCACTGTGCTCCAGCCTGGTGACAGTCTCAAGGCATCTTCCTAAACCAGTTGCATTTGCACTTACCTGTGCCAGGCACTGTTCTAGGTAAGCACTTAGCATATTAGTGCTGAGGGTGGCTTTAATACAGCATATTCCCATGGGGAAACCCAGGAACCAAAAGGCTAATCCAAGTCCACAACCAGAAGTGGCACCTCTGCAGAAACGGGCATCAAGTTCCCTGCTCAGGAAGAAGCCAGATAGTCAGTCCCATCCATCTGTGTATGCCCAGTCCCGTTCGTGTCCTGCTCTACATAGATCTCTCCTGAGTAAGGTTTTTTTCTGAACCAGTGACTTTAGTATGTTTTTAATTCATATTCTCAGGTGGAGTTCGGTAACTGCAGTGCTGGGGAGGAAATGAGTGAATTTCTATTGACCTACAAGGTACAGCTGAAGCAAAGCTGTCAGTAGGTGTTCAGATCCCACTCTGCTGAACTTCAGCTTGCAATACCCCTTTAGACTTTCCAAACAGGCACTCTGGCCTTGTTCTTTGTGTAGGCAGACAGTATTGGTTGCCCATCTTAGGAGTCCTAGACCGCCCGGATTTGAATCCTGATCCCACCACTTGCTGTTTATGAGGCTCTGGGTGAGTTACTTAGCCCCTGTGCCTCAATTTCGTGTCACAAAATGAGAATGATAAACTACCTCGTGGAGTTGTAATAAGGACAAAGGAGTTTATATCTGTGAAAAGCTTCTTAGGCTCTCTAGGTGGAGTGCATACTCCATCTTTCTTTCTTTTCTTTTCTTTTTTTTTTTTTCCGAGACACGAGTCTCACAGCTGGGGCTAAGCAGGTGCATGCCTCCATGCCCGCTAATTTTTTGTATTTTAGTAGA